TTTGGTAGATTTTTACGTGACTAACATAAGGCTACTGTGGAAGTGCCCATTTCGGTTACAACGACATTCGTTTATGACGACACTATTTTTAGGTCCCTTTGATGACATTATAACCAAGTTCTACTGTATATATATATTATCTAGTGACTACCTGCTACTTAGCAGGCTTGTTGTGAGACCGGTTCTGTATCCAAGGGCTTCGGCCATTTAAGGATGTGTTGGAGCATGCAATAAATATAATACAATACAATTAAACAAGAATGTCAATGTGCAGGATTTGAGGTTCCCACAGTTGTGGTTATGAAGACTTCTATCTTCTGGGATATAACACCTTATAGTCTGTTGAAAGTCAAGCAAGAAACCAGCGTGAAAACAGATGACAAGAGAAGTTATTAACTTTGTGGACTGCTTCACAGCATTATATTTCATGGCAAGTAGTACAGTTTATGTGGGGGAATTTATTTATGGTTTATCAGCAGTGGGTGGCAGTTATCAGCTCCATTAGCTGCTTGTTCTCAGTTATAATTAGTGAGCAGTGTGTTCTGTCATGGTGCCATATACTTTAGAGTAATGTGTATTTCTGTATGACACCTGTGTGAAATATGGATCTGCTAGAAAATTTTGGCAAATATTTAATGTAAATTTCATGATGAAAGAGTTACCAGCAGACAAACAAATCACAAATTGGTGAATAAACTTAGATCAACAGGACTCTTAACAGACAAGAAACAAAAATGTAAGCACTGATTTCTTACTGACGAAAAGTTAGATGACATTGGAGCCAGACTATAACATGCACCTAGAAAATCATTGACACATCTAACTCAAGAGACTGGATTGTCAAATTCTAATGCAAGAAGGCAACACAATTGCTGAAGCTTAGACTCTATAGAACAATAGTAATCCATACATGTCTTGAAGCCATGCAATCCAGCTAGCAGGGTTCATTCTTGGTTTCTACAGTCTGTTGTCAAAAATGAGATCGATCTTTTCAAATGACACATGGTTTAATTTGCAGGGCTACATAAGTACCCAAAATAACTGCTACTGGAGTGCACAGAATCCACATCTAACCCATAAAGGCCTACTCTATCCAATGAACATTGGTGTCTGATGTGCTGTAAGTGGAAAAGAATCATACCTGTGCTTTTGTTAATGAAACAATTAATTGCAAATGATATATAAAGGTCATTCTTGAGCAATTCTTTCCAAAGTTAACAGATTTAGAAGGACTCTATGGCTGGTTTGAGCAAGACTCAGCCACTGCCTAGACTGCACATATGTCTATGCAGGCTTGTAACTGTTTTCAGGGACAGAATTGTCACCAGTAATATTTGGCCAGCATGTGCACCATAACTTAATGCTTGTGATTTTTTTCTTCTGAATGGAGGCATAACTAGAATAAAATATTCTTGCAGAATATCTTCAAAGGGTGAATTAGAACTTCTTCCTCTGATGCAAGAAATGTCTGTGTGTAGAACGAGAGCATTTTCGATCTGTGAATTGTAACTACTTCATTCCAAACTTTATCAACGTACAGGCATATTGATTCATCGGAAAAATAAGTATGCGCCTTGCAGCAGGCGGTGAACCGGTTGCCTAGAAGCGCAGAGCTGTGAACCGGTCAGCAAAAGTAAGAACCTCCCTCTAGTAGTAGCAGTTAATTTATTTTTTATTTATTTAACGACAATTTCAGCAGCTAAATTGTATAGCGCTGTATGAAGCGATGATAAATGAACGATAATCTGGAAAAGATTTGGATCGAAGCAGCCGTGACGTAATCGAGGTACTATCCTTGGATACTTGCCTGGGGGAACTGAGGAAAACCACGAAAACCTTCAGGATAACCGGGATTCGAACTGAGCACGTCTCGTATACGAATCAAGAGCGTTAGCGCTACGCCAACACGTTCAGTGGCAGCGGTTGTGGTTTTGGTCATTAGGTGTAGTAAACAGTTTACTAAGAAAAACATATTCCAGAAATCAGACAGTTTAGCGAATTGTGGTACATCTGTATGATCTGTATGATCTGTATGATGGTACTCAATCGAACAGATGATCGTTAGGACCGGTGGGGCGGGTGGTATCAAGTGGGCCGGGGAGACGAAGAGCACGAAGAGAGTTGTAAACGGTTGTAATCGTTGTAATGTTGTGGTAGGGTTTTTTTTTGTCGCAGAGGATTAATACCAAACGTGATAACGTATAATTTAAATGATGAGTTTGCGTTTATAAGTGGTTTGCATGTGAGGTATAGGTCAAACGTAAGTATGGTATGCTTATCTTCGTATGTAAATAACTTCGGACTTCATAGTGCTGGGAACGGTTGCGCATGTGAAATATTCTAAAAGTTATCAACACGGAAAAATACCATGTTTTCTGCGGCTGTTTTGTCGTATGATCCAGGACTCCAGGAGTTTGAATAAGGTACATACATACATAAATTTCACATTTCACAAGTCCAAAATACAATGGACATGAAACCGGTCACAAGCCTAACGCAAACAAACTAAGCAGAAAAACAATACAGAGCTAAACAAACACTGTATGCTCCAAAAATTCATCAACTGTATAAAATGAGTTATTCATGAGATATGAAAATAAATTATATTTAAAACTGATTCTATCCTTTCTAAAACTTTGAATGGTTTTTGGCAATCTGTTAAATAACCTAATACCAGTAAACATAGTGCCCTTCTGGAAAACAGAAAGATTTGAAGTTGGAATATGAATTTGATTTTTGCTTCTAGTGTTCAGGCCATGAATCTGTGAACCCGAACATAAATTATTTTGATTGTCTATCACAAACAACATCAAAGAAAAAATATATTCACACGACAATGGTAAAATATCTAATTTCTTAAAAAGACTTCTACATGAGTCTCTGGGTCCCACTCCCAATATGATCCTTATTACTTTATTTTGTAACTTAAAAACTCTAGAATTATTAGTCAAATTACCCGCGAGGACTATTCCATGCTTAATGATAGATTGAAAGTAAGAGAAATCCACCATTTGCAGGGTTTTTAAATTCATAAAATAAGATAAACTCATAATCACAAAAATAGTAGAACTGAGTTTAGGAAGGATGTATTCCACATGACTCTTCCAGTTCAATTTATTATCAAATTGTATACCCAAAAATTTAATTACAAGGACTTCAGTCATTACCATGTTTCCAAAGGATACTGCCAGCAGAGTTGGCAGACTGTTTAGGAGCAAAATTAATATTAGTTTTGTTAATATTTAAGACCAACTTGTTCACTATAAACCAATTTACAATGAGAGACAAGGTATCCTCAACTTTGCACTTAAAAATTCGCCTAGTGGGGGGTGGAGTCCAGCTGGGTCCACTCGGCACGGCGGCCACTGATTGGCCAATTGTACCTGCCCCAGGTGATTATGATGATGGAGAATTTGGTGGAATGAAGATTGGCAGGGGAAACCGAAGTACTTGGAGAAAACCCTCCTCAGCGCAACTTTGTCCACCACAAATCCCACTTGACCAGATCTGGAATCAAACCCGGGCTGCCACGGTAGGAAGCCAGCGACTAACCGCTTGAGCTATGGCATGGCCCCAACTTTGCACTTAAGCACACAATGATTTTTTCCAGTGACAGAAATACTGGTGTCATCTGCAAAGAGAAAAACATTGGCATATTTATTGATGCATAATGGCAAGTCGTTAATATAAATAATAAACAGAAGTGGTCCTAAGACTGACCCCTGATGAACTCCTTGCTTAACTCTTTTCCATTTGGAGAAATAATCATGATCATCGTCAATTCTGAGTTGCCCTCTCTGTTTTCTAACTGATAGATAGGATTTAAACCAATTTAAATTACAATCCTGAACACTATAATACTCTAATTTTGATATCAGTATTTCATGATTAACACAATCAAACGCCTTGGCAAGGTCACAAAAAATACCAGCAGTTAGAAGTTTATCATTCCAGGCTTGAAGAATGTCAGTGGTAAGTGAAAAAGCAGCATGATCAGTTGATAAGTCTTTACTGAAACCAAATTGTTCCTGCACCAGTATATTATTCACTTGTAGATGTTGATTTAATCATCATCATCATCATCATCATCTTTATTAACATCCGTAACTGTTACAAAGTAACACATGGACAAGTCATAACATGTAGTACAATCATTCGGGAATCCTTTGCCCACGGCCTAAAGGGTTCCTAAGTCAACAGAGACATACTCTAATTAAAACTACAATACAGAATACAAGTACACAAATTTTAGATTTATTTTAAATATAAATAAGTTAATTTCAAGTTTATTTGCCTTTATGCTTAATCGACCAACTTTAAAAATACTACTTTAAAATCAAGTTACTAAAGTAACCATCACAACCATACTCATCAAGGATAAAAACACATCATCAAATCATCATTAAGGATTTTGAGCAGAGTTTCTCTATTCATCCTGCAGTCCCTCAAAGAGAAACTCCTTCATTGTATAAAATGGGTTATCAAGTAAAAATAATTTTAATTTATATTTAAAATCTTTGAATCCATTTAATTTTCTTATTTTCAAAGGCAATCTATTGTAAGCTTTAATACCCATATTTATGACACTTTTTTTAGAGGTAGATGTGCTACAGCTTCGTACATGGAAGTCCTCTTTTCTTCTAGTATTATATTCATATAAATCTGAATTTCTAGTAGTATACAGATTAAATTTCTGAAAGTAGCACAATACCTCAAAGATGTACAGAGAGGTAACAGTTAGGATCTTTAGATCTTTAAAGATTGGTCTGCATGTAGTTCTACTATTTACGCCTTTTATTAATCGGAGTATCCTTTTTTGTATTTTCAGTATTTTACTGCTTTCACACTCTCCCCCCCAAAAAATCAAACCATAACTTATTAAGGACTGAAATTTAGCAAAATAAACATTCCTGAGCGTAGAGAAACTCACTACATCTTTCAAGGATTTTATAATATAACACACCTTATTTAATTTTAGACATAAAGATTGAATATGTGAGCTCCATTTTAAGTTATTTGATATATTAACACCTAAAAATTTAAACTGTGAGGTATAACTAATTTTCATATTTTTGAAGGTGATTACTGGCTCAGACATATAGTATGATTTGTTTAATTGGAACAGCATTGCTTTGGTCTTTTCCGTATTTATAATCAAATTGTTTTTTGAAAACCACGATTCTAACTGGATCATCACCTCTCCTATCTTATCTTGGAGAATATTTATATTTTTATCTGTTACCAATATGTTAGTATCATCTGCAAAAAGGACAACTTCACCGTCAAATATATGATAGGGTAAATCATTTATATAAAGTAAAAACAACAGTGGGCCCAGGATGGAACCCTGGGGTATACCAAATTTTACATTCTTAAATGAGGAATTATACCTCTTCTTACGATATTTATTGTCATTTGAAGTTATTTCGACATACTGAGAACGTAGAGAAAGGTAGGATTTTAACCAAATTATGGCATTCCCTCTTATTCCATAATGCTCCAATTTCTCAAGAAGTATATCATGATCTATAACGTCATAAGCTTTTGAGAGATCAAAGAATATACCTACCACCCCTAACCGCCTATCCAATGCTTCCTGGACCTTTCCAATGAAGGACAGACACGCCGATGTAGTTGATTTATTTTTCTGAAACCCATGTTGATTTTCTGTTAAAATTTTGTATTTTGTAGTAAAAGATACCAGTCTAGAATACATTATTTTTTCCAATATTTTTGAAAATACAGATAAAAGCGCTATCGGTCTATAATTACTAGCTTCTTGTCTGTTCCCTTTTTTATAAACAGGCCTAACTTTTGCAATTTTTAATAAATCTGGAAAAATCCCCTGGTTTAAAGACTCATTAAAAATGAATGTAAGTGGTTTTTTTATACATTGAATACATGCTTTTAATAAAAATTCAGGGACTTCATCAACTCCAGCAGAGGCTTTACCTTTTAATTTAGTTACTACTAACACAATTTCATCTTCAGAAATGGGGAAGAGATACATGGAGTTTGGATTTCGGTCGACTAATAATTGTGGTAATCTATTATTATTTCTATTTCTAGTTTCCTCCACCAGTTCTTCAACTTTATCAATAAAATAAGAGTTTAATGTATTCGCCACCTTCTGCGGGTGTATTATTTTCTTTGAATTGTTTTGTAACCATATATCATGATTTGCCCTACCTGCATTTCCCATTTGTTTATTTATTATCTGCCACATCATCTTAGTTGGATTTGTAGCATCTCGTATTTGATTGTCATTATACCTTTTCTTAGCTTCAGAGATAACTCGTTTATAGATTCTGTGATATCTATTTATATAGTT